AGATTTATACAAATATGTATCTAGTGGCATGGCAGATTAACTTGAGCCAAGTTTTATGACAAAAGACACAATGTTTAGCAAACACTAATGAACAGATGCTGATTTACAGCAGAACTTGAACTAGGCAAAGGGGATGGAGTTTCAATCTTGTGCTGAATTTTACAGAGCTGGATACTAGTGGAAGTCTTCTATGTGGATTACCATTCATCTTACCTAGTTATTATGTACTAAAATTCAGCTTGGCCTGTCTGCACCAGATTAAAAAATATCTGCTATTTTAAAAGCACCCAGCTGAGTCTCCTCCAGGCACAGCTGCACAAGAAATTCCTGGCTGTGAATGCACAATGCATTTGTGCAGAGCAAACATCCATAACAGGGGGTACAGCAGCAGGCAGAGCACTTGCATTCAGATTTTGTCAGGGAACATCAATTTCACCTGAGGGAGTTTCAAGGAAATTCCTTACTGGGCCTGTGGTGTAAAAAATGGACCAGATTGAAGGCCATTGCAAGGATTTACACTCTTCCACCTCCACTCTGCTGCCTGGTACCTAGACTTCCTCATGATCCACAGAGAATGGCCACCATACACAGACTCTTGGGACAGCCTTTTTGCCACCCAGAGAGAGCTCAGAAGCACACACTTTAATATTAATCACTCAGATGTGACTAATGAGTACTTAATAATAAACAATCTGTTTTCAAAAACATGCCACTCCAAGTATCTCTTCAGTAGTGCTGCAACATATCTTTATTGCAAGGAATAAATAAACAGCACATTAAAAGCAGAAAAAATAAACAGAAAATATTAGGGAATAATGTCTGAGGAAGTGCTATTAGAAATAAGAGTGCTTTCTTCTTTTTTTTTTTTTTTTTTTTTAATAGCATTTCTAATAGCACTGGGTAAGAAGTGCTTTGTTTGGATGCGAATCTGAAAAGAGAAATTACCTTGGCAGGTCATCTTTCACAAATGCTAGAGTTCAGCTGAAGCAAAATGATGCTCTGGTCAGTTCCTCTTAGAAATACCAAGATCCTTTAGAACACAAGACATTTTTAATGCTGAAATACTGCAGGATAATTCCTATGTTCCATAGATGCTTACTTTGTATCCTGTGACAGGGAAAATACTGAACAATGGCAGCAGATGGCAAATCCTTTCCAATAGACCAATTCCTGTCTTGAGTAATTCCACTATTACTCAATGCACAGTTCCCTGGCAGTGCAGTAAATTCCCTAGTGTCTCAGAGGGCAGAATGTAGCACTTTATATTTTATATTAGATAGCATGGATACTTTAAATATCCCAGATTCTGTTCCAGTTCACACTTTAGGCTAATAAACCTGAAAGGAATTAAATTTCTCCACAAATTTTTTTCACTCGTTGTGGTCCTTTCCTCAGAGCATTCAGTCGGTGCTACTCTCTGGTTCTCAAGTATTACCCACTGTCTCTCTGGCTTTACTTTTCTTGTCTTTGTAGCAGTAACCCCTGAGTCTCTGTGATTCCTTGCTTTTGCTATGTTGGGAAAGTCAGAAATGTATGCCCTGGCAGAGAAAGGCTCAGATTCTCTGTGTCATGGATGAATGGTCTGTTACAATGGAGTTGCTGTATGAAAAAAGCTTCTTCCATTTCCACATCTTTTTAAAAGAAAAGAATGATCTCTCTTCAGCCTTGGAAGTAATTCAGACATTAACTACAAGGAAATCGTTCAGGCACCAGACACAGGGAAAAATTATGTAGCACAAATGGCCAACACAACCCTGGAACAACAGAGCTTTTACTGACACTCTCTGGTGTCTGCACAGCCCCTTTGTTGGCACTTGGGAACCCTTTTTCTTGGTACTAATTTGTCTCTCAGGTACTGTAAAGAGAGGCCAGAAATGTCTAAAATAGCTTGAAGACTTTGCCCCAGGAGCCAAAGTCTAGAAGACAGGTATTGAAATGCTGAGCAGAGTTACCCTCGTCTTCCCCTCTGAGTGTTTTGTTCTTCATGGCATGTTCATTTATCATAAATTCATTTAACATCTACCATGCTTGTTTTCATGTTTGATGCTTCAGCATATTCTTGAAGGATGATAGATAGTCCTTCATATTTGTTTCAAAGATCATGCAAACCTTTTATGGCTCTGAACTACACATTTTGGCTTTATAGCTCTAGAAATAGAGTTCCAACTCTGGAAAATGCATTTCTTATTCACTTAAGGTACAACCAAGATGATTACTGGTGAAACAGCAAAACCTTTTCTTTGATTCCAGTATAATAACACATATTACCGATCTCTTTGAATAAACCAGTATAGCACTAGAGTGGAAGACAGATAAAATTATCTCCACATAAGTGGAACAAAAAAATAGCCCTTGCCTTGGTGCATTTGCAGTGTAAGTACTCTATAAGCACATCACACAGGCTGACTTATGAGTGTAGTAAAAATCAAGGGACCTGCCCTGTCAGCACACTCTAGCTTAGCACAGCTGCCCAGCCCTGAGCCTGGAAAAAGCCCAGAGAGATGACAATCAGCCCAGTGAAATCAACTGGGTAAGGAAATGGGCCTTTTGTAAAAGTGGCCACGCAGCACTGCTGACTCCTTGAGCATGTGAGAGCTCCTGGGGAAAGTTGTCAAAAGTTTGCTGGCAGGGATAAAACACTAGTACATGCCAGAAGTGATCCAGTTCATTAACAAGCCTCATGGACTGTGAGGAAGAAGGACTGGAAATCCCAAGCAGAGTCGCAGGCATAGGCTCATCTGGCAACACATGGCCAGAGAAGAAATATTCCATCCACCAGGATGTGGTGTCAACACTTTGAGGCTGAACTTACCATAACATGGAAAAAAGCATTCACCAATTAGGAGCTAACTTATGAATCCATGAAACATAAGAGACTTCAAAGCAGATGTCTAAAAACAGCAATCCTGCTTTATTCTAACAGGACAGCTTGCTGACCATGCCAAAACAAGATCTCTGTTTTCCTCGGGAATAATAATGATTACAGTTGCTTGAAATGTCTGTGGGAATTAAAGGACAAGAAGGAATTAAGGGTTGGACACCTACTGAGGTGGTGAGACAGTTGTGTGTGATAATCTTTTGAATGCTGAACCTGAAGCAGAGAAAAAAAGAGCCAAGTGCTCACACTTCAACTATGTGTAAGAAACTCAAAAAGCAAAATGTTGTGGTGCCTCATTAAGAATAGAAGACAGGAAAGTGGAATTTGAATGTTAATTAAATAATGAGGAAGATTGAAAGAGGAACACAAACCAAACAAACAGTGTAACGCATTAGCAGGAAAGAAAAGGAGAGGTGGTGGTGACCCAGCTACTGAAAGCTGCTGAAGAGACCTCTTTGGGTCTGGTTGAGATCCTATAGAAAAGGATTTCAGAATATGAAATGGGCCCCTCAAAAGCAAGATGATGAAGATACTTTGAAGTGAAGTGGAAAACAAACGTGCACAGAAGTCTACCTCACTTCAAAAAATGTTTTTATAAAAATCAGCAGAAAAGAACACCTGTAACTGAGATTGATATGTGTGTCATCTCTATGAGCTAGAGTTAAGAAGCTGAAGATCAACAAAACAGTGTTAAAGGATCATGATTATTTCGTAGAGGAAATGCTAAAAAAGTAAACCACCCTGTCTTCCTTAAAAGAGAGGGAAAAAAAAGCCCACAAAACAGACTAATACCATTGAAATATTTTAATAGCAGGGGGAAAAGATCCCTTCTGAGCAGTGAAAATAGGGAGTTGTCTGAAAATTAAGCAAGCTGCACAAACTGGACAGGAGTCACACCACTGCTAAAGGGAAAGATTTTCTATGGTCTGCAATATCAGAAGGAAATATCTTTCTAAAGATAAAAAACATATTTTGAACATCTTTATAGTAAGTATCAGCATATAAGAAGACAGACATGGCAGACTTCTCATCTGTTTCGACAGGTGTTAGGGTTGTTTAAGATAAAGGACTGCCATTGTGTTTGAAGAATATAACAATGCAAACAGCAAATCTGTCAATTTACCCTTGCCCAAGATGCACAGTTATTAATGTAATCTTTCGTTGTTCATGTCAAACAAACTCAGGACCCTAGTACGTAGCTCACTCATGAGATGTCCTGTTCCAGGAAGTTAGTTTAAATAGAAAAGATGGAGCAGCAGAACAGGTTATGCAGTATCTTCACAGGGCAGACCAGGAGCTGGGACACGCAGGGAACCGGGAAGGCCAGAGCAGAGTCATGTTTCACACTTGCCATTCCCGAGTCCCACTGCTGCTCTGGCCGTGCAGGACGAGCGCCGGGGGATTCAGGTCGGGAAGGGATGCGGGAGTGCGGGGATGCGATGGCACCAGGGTGGCTGTGCCGCTCCTCCTCCGCTCTGCCTGTGCGCGGATCCCGGTACACACACGCTGCTTTTTCCCTGCGCGTGTGGCTCCGGAATGCTGACCCTCGCCAGGGATGCAGCAGTACATTTATGGCAAGGGGTTAGAGCTGCGGCTGCAGCTGCGATCCCGGCCCAAATCAGGAGAGGGGAGCACCAGGGGGGATCGCTGCGCCTCTGGGCTGTCCCCTGGGGCCCAGTATTGGCCTTTCCACCGTGTCCCTGACACCCACCCTGGCTGGGCCCGGGGGATGCCCTGACGGCCCCCCCGCGGCGGGCAGTGCCGGAGCGCTCAACATTGCCTTTTTCGGGCTTTTTTTGCTCTTTCCTCCCTGTGTGCGGGTTTTTTTTTTCTTTGGGTGTTTTTTGTTTTGTTTTGTTTTTTTGGGGTTTGTTTGTTTGTTTGTTTTTCTTTTTTGTTAGTTTGTTTTGATTTGACTTTGTTGTTTTGTTTTGGGTTTTTTTTTCCGCTTTCCCTTGTCCCTCCTTGCAGGGCCGGAGCGGCAGCAGCGCTTCCCAGGATCCCGGGGCCGCTCCGCCCATCCCGGCCCATCCCGGCCCGGCCCGGCCCGGCCCGACTGGCGGAGGAGGAGCCGGCGCGGCGGCTGCGGCCGGGCTGAGGCGCGGCAGGCCCGCGGTGAGCCATGTCCCTGGCGGAGCGGCGGCGGGAGGAGGAGGAGGAAGGGGAGCGGGAAGGGGAAGCAGGGGATGGGGCCGGGGAGGAGGTGGTGCAGATCCGTCTGGGGGACAAATGCTACCCGGTGTGCAAGAGGAAGCTGATCGAGCAGAGCGACTATTTCCGAGCGCTCTACCGCTCGGGAATGAGGGAGGCAGGGCAGGGCCAGGAGGAGCAGCTGCTGCGCGGGGGGCTTAGCGCCCTGGGGCTGGAGCTGGTGCTGGACTTCATCAATACGTCCTGCCTGGCCCGGCTGGAGCAGGAGGTGGGCGGTGAGAAGGAGCCGCCGCTGCTGGAGGAGCTGGTGGAGGCCGCTTCCTACCTGCAGGTCACGCCCCTACTGCGGCTGCTGCTGTCGCAGGTACGCCTCGGCAACTGCTTCGAGCTGCACCGCCTGGCGCAGGTGTACGGCCTGCAGGACCTGCACGACGCCTGCTTGGACTTCATGGCCGCCCACTACCATCAGGTGCTGCGCAGGCCCGACGCCCGCCCGCACCTCCTGCTGCCCTCGGCGCTGCAGCAGCAGCTGCGGGAGCGGCGCATGAGGGGCACGGCCACCCTCGTGCTGCTCGGGGACTTCATGGGCGCCTGTCCGCCGGGGCTGCCCGCCGGCTGCCACCCCGCGGGGGACGCGCCCTGGGCCATGCTCAGGTACGACGAGGAGGCGCAGCGGTGGCTGCCGCTGGCCAATAACCTGCCCGCCGATCTGGTGAGCGTCCGCGGCTACGGCTCGGCCACGCTGGACAATTACCTGTTCATCGTCGGCGGCTACCGCATCACCAGCCAGGAGATCTCGGCCGCGCACTGCTATAACCCGTGCCTTAACGAGTGGAGCCAGCTGGCCTCGATGAACCAGAAGAGGTAACCCCTGTTCACTGGGGTACGCGTGTGTCCCTGTCTGGTGTTGAGGTAGATCACATGGCACTGGCTCAGCCTTAGGGACGCGATACAGACCTGCCAGTACTCTGAGCGACCAAACAAACCCAATGAGGAAATTCCTTTCCCGCTTTCTTTGTGATGTATTGTAACTCCAGTTAAGTACGTGACAAGTTTTCCTGCTCTTAGTGGGGATGTACAGGCTATACCAGAGCTGGAGATGGCCAAAACAGTTTAGTTACAGCAGTTGTCCAGTGGTTTGTACTTTCATAAAAGTCTGAATGTTTTGTAGTCTACACTTCAGTGAAATACCAGAAGAGAGTCAGGAAGATGGTGAGAAATTTCTCACTTGATTGTAATATTTGGATCTTTGAATCATTCATCATTTTGATAATTTTTTCTTTTTCACCTTTATCCTTTTGAACCATTTATTACACATTGATGTTTTAGTTTGCATTCAGAAACACTTGTGTAATTTATATTTGAAAGAGTAATAGAGATCTAGCCTTGAGGAAGGCCAAAGAAAAGAGGCCTTCTCTCTGGCCAAAGTTGTAGCTCTACCTTAAACACACTTTGGAGTTATAAAAACAAAGGCTTTCATTTCACTGAAACAAACTGGCTTTGTTTCCAACATGAACTTCCTCTTCATTTACATTGTAGTAAAAGTATTTTAAATTTTATCTTTTCTCTGAAAAAGTAAGGAAGCCAAAATTTATTGTAGAGTGGAAATCCTTTTCTCTATCCAGTGAATTGAAAGAGCATGCACAGTGACCCAAGCTGTTGGCATAAATGCTTTGTATCTGGATAGTTAAATTGCAGTCTCTATTCCTAGCTCTATTTAGCTTTTGCCACCTATCCCCCCTCAAAACAGGGATTAGACCTAAAATTAAGTCTTTCCCATTTCACCTTTTTTTTTCCCCCCCAATTCTTGTATTGTGAGAATTTTACTGAAATAATCAGTCATCACAACTGATCAGAAACCATTTTTTTCAGTGTTGCTGACTGCTCGGAACAGTGGTGGGAAAAGTTTCATCTGTAAAATGAATGTTTGGCTTTTAAACACTACAAACACCTTTTCTTACAGACCTGTTTCTTTGAGGCTGAGCCTATAGCAGTTTCCTGAGGTGCCTGGGGAACAGAGATGTTTTAGCTGGCTTCATTTGACAGCAGGACTTGTGTAAATGGGGTTGGGAGCACTTGGCCTTCCTAGAAAAGGAGAATGAGGTCTACCCATACAGTGTCTTCTATGGAAATTAACTTCGTCACAGAAGTCCCACATTGATCGAGTCACGAGGTTCTGTTTGTGTGATGTCTATAGCAAGAAAGCTGTTACTATGTGTGTTGACTCTGCAACATAGGTTTTAAAAAAAACCTTTTCAAGGCCAGTTTTGCACCTTTTTTTTTTAGAGTTTGTGTATTCAAACTCTAGATGACCATTTTTCCTCCACACTTGGCCTTTTTTTTGTTTTTGTTAGGATGTATAATCATTATACTTGACATAAACACATGGATATTTTCTCCTATTACTGTTTGCAGTGGCATTGCCACACCAACTTCATCTTCAAACACATCTCAGGTGACACCTGTTCGAAGGTGTTCCTTTGAATAGAATTTCACATTGGCCATTTACTGCAGAAAGACAGCAGGCAAATGGGTATATTTGGAATAATCTTTAGTCTTACATTCCATCCTAATTATTGCAGGCCAAAAGGTACCTAGAATGACACCTGCAAAGTAGCACTGAGGATGTTGCTCCCTGAGTAACTGGGGGAGCTTTTTTTCATGGAAACTTAGCTGACCCCTTCAGAAAAAGTTTCTGATTTTACCAGCTTATGAAGTCTCAGCTCTGCAGTTAATTATTAATTTTTCTATCTGACATAACATGTCAGCTCCCCGGTGACCTGCTTGGTGTTTAGTGGCAGGGAGAGATAGCCTGGACCCTAGGAGCCAAGAGCAGGGCCATTTTTAACATGATGGGTTTGCATGCTACATGTCCAGTGCTGATGCCTGTCTTCCACACATCTGTGCTGCAGTTAGAGGTGCAGTTTGCTTGGCATTATATTTTTAGGTTGCTATGCTGTAGTAAAATAAGGAAGGTGGTTGCCCAGCTTTCTGCTTAGGAATTACAGCCATGTGACTGTCTGGCACACAAATTTATGTCAGCTGATACAATTACATCCCGTGGATGAAATTTGACATACCTTCAGGAGGGAGGACTTTGGTTTCCATTGAAGTTGGTTTGACTTCAGACAGCAGAGGATCTGGATTTGTTCTGCATGAGTGACTGCGTATGTTGGCCTTGAGGGAAGGCTGAGGAGTTATGGATATAATTTTGCTGCTTTGCTGTTCATATAAGAGTTTTCTGCCCTAAAAAACCTTTTAAGTTCTGAGGTATTTTTATCATGAATTATTTCCATTGTCATAATGGAGAATCCCAGGATGCTGGGATTCTCTCCATATGCTTAGATGAAACACTCCTAATTTACTTCTAAGTAGAAAATGAAACCCACCTGAATGTTTAGCAGCCATTCTGGTTTGGGTCTGCACTGTTGGCTTTCTTTTTAGGTGTACGGGTCTTATTACTTCAGTTTCAAACTTCTCCACAATAGGCAGCTCCTGTTTAATGTTCATGTGATGCCCCCAGGAGCTTCAGAGTGTGTTATTCCAAATTTGTGCATGCCCAAGGGAGCTAAAATAATGTGCTCAGGCTCACAAAGGAAGCCTATGACTGAGTATGGAATTTCTCATCGTCTGAGTGCTAAATCCAGTGCTGATCACAAATAGTCCATAACAGATCATTTTCAGGTCGTTTTCTAGACCTTTTCATTCTAGAGGTGTTTCTGTACTTGGAATTCCCAAGAGACAGAATGACTTGAACTTTTTAAAAGAAGTTCCATGTAAGTGTTGCCCAAGATCCCTTTGGGGTCAAGAAGGTAACAAAGTAGATAGGGAACTGTTGCAGTAATGTCCTTGAATACCTTTCCAAACCTTTTTAAGTGAACACTGTCTGTTGAAATTTACTTTTTTAAAATAATATACTCATAGGATTTCTACTGCGTGTGCCAGATAGAGCTGTATATTCCACTTCTTATTTTCCTTCAGAACCTTCCTACTCATGGCAGGTAAATCTTCCAGGCCTGGAAGACTTGTGTAAGCCCCAGGCTGGAATTATGCACATGTACATGAAATACGATTTTTATGAGCAATCTGTGTCTGAACTGTTGCCACTCTGAAGATTCTTATAGAAATATAGAAGATGATGCTTCTGGGGAATGCTACTTGTTCAGGAGACCTTCTCCTTCTTAATTTTATACTTTTTTTTTTTTTTTATTTCACTCAAAATTCTCCTGTGCTGGAAGAAAATAATAGACTTCAAATTTTTTTTTAAGTTAGAACTGGTCATACCTTACTTACCACAAATGTATCACACACTTCTAAAGCTAAATCTTTAATGCACTGTACTCTGCAAGCTCACACAAGAAATATAAAAAAGGGAAAAAAAGGAACTTACTGAAAATATGTAAAACACTTTGGAATTGTTCCATAACTGTGCTTTCATGATTCCTTGTATCTGTTTTAAGTGCTTTAACTCTAGAATAAAGAAGTCATCTGATTTTTGAGAAATTTTAAGGTTAAATTGATCATTTGGCAGGAAGAAACAATGTTGGTTAATCCAAGGGTCATGTTCTGCAGTAGGACCAAGGCTACCTTGCAAATAAATACACATTTAACTTGCTCTTGAAATCCTCCAGCTGTGTAGATTCCAGCCTACACTGCAATCCTCCCCCCAGGTATCTTGTTTCCATCTTTAGCCACCCCTCTGATCAAAAAGTCCTCCCTAGTATATGAGCTAACTCTTCTTTGTTGTACACTAAGTGAGATTGTCAGTGAACAAAAAACCATGTGTGCTGGTCCTTTATAGCCACTGCCACCATGGCCTCCTGCAGATACACCTAATACGATCCAGAGTGGGGTTTTGGGAAGCTGTGGAATGTTGTCTTGCATGCAGAAAGCTTCTCTGACCTCCAGCTCCTTTACATTCGTGCATTATACTTTCCTTCTTTTGTGCATGCAGCGCTTTGCACTTTGTTGAGTGAAGAATGGATTTTGAGTGATGGTAAAACCCCACAGCTGCCACTTGCTGCAGTGGTGTTCCTGGGGTCCAGTTCAGAGTGAATGGGGGCAGCAGAAGGCAGCTTATACCTTGGCTTGTCCCAGCAAGAAGGGACCCACTAGGCCTGGTTTTTGGGGAATACGTCTTGATCCTTCAGGTTTAGACAAGTAGCAGGTACGAGTGGAGTTCTGTCATGGTGGAATCTGATGGATTTGGCCCAGCTGTTTCCAGGCTGTAGTCCATGGAACTATTGGTTGTGGAGAGCTGGCTCCCTGCTCAGTGTTTGCTTTCCTTGTTTCCAGCTGCTTCAACACACTAAAAGAGTATAAAAATGGACTAAATATTTCCTAATGTGCACTCTCCATAAAGACACCTGTTGTTACTGGCATGGAAAGGTGAATGGCAGAAGTTTTTCATAACATATTGAGCCATTGTCCAGACTTTCATATAAAGTGTGCTGATGGATATTTGCAGCTACTTTTGAGTAAAATGAACCTTATTGTTAATGAATTCCATAAATCTGAGATACCTCCACTGAATGTCATCCATTTTAATGAGTGTTTGAAGTGGTTAAATGACTGACACAAAGGTTTGTAGCCTCCTTTTAGAATATTTAAAGCTGCAAGTTGTGCTGCTTGTGTTTCAATAGATAGTTTTCCCTTTGTTAATTCGTGGATTTTTTTTTCTGTCCTAACTTTTACAATAGTTAAATTGCTTTGAAAATCAGAATGTTTTGCAATTAGTTATCCTCATTTCATATCTGCTTTTGATTGCCCTGTTATTCTGGATTTTGTAAACTGGAAAGCATTATTGCTATTGAGGGAATATGAACAGACTAACCTAATCGTAAATGTCGGGGGGGAAAAAATGAATAAAAAGCAATTAATTCCTTCAAAGGAGCATTTTAGTTTCCAACGCTGTATCAGGCTGACAAGAACAAAGTGATTCCATCTGGAAACAAATCCTTTTTCCAAATAAGTTGCAGGGCAGTCTGCAGCTAGGCAGGGTTTGTTTTGTCCAGACAAAGCTCTGCAAAAGTACTTAGCAGTGAGTTTTGAATAATGGATTCCAGCAGGGTGGAACTCCCTTTGCTGCCCAGCAGGCCAGTGCAGGTCTGAAACATCATTTTGGTTTTACAGACATAACAGTTCCCTCTTTGGCTTTGCACTGAGCCAGTGAGCTCCAGGGACTGCCACACGTCCAGTTAATTGGGACACTCATGATAAAATCTCAACTGGCTCAGCAGAAGAGAAGGAACAACATTTCTAGGCAGTGAGACTGTTCCTGGGGAGAGGAAAAGCTCATCTGTTGTTAGACCAGCCTCCCTAGCTGGAAGGAAGAGCTGCACACCAGAGTTCCGTCTTCACCTCCTCCAGTTTCTTCCTCCAGATCTGCACTTTTAATACCCATTGACCATTTGTTTCTGTCTGCATTACCTTCAGGGTGTGAGATAGGAGACTTCTTATGCTTCAGGAATTAGGAAGTTGCCTTTTGCCATGTGCAAATTTTGAGAGCATAGTGGAACAGACTAAGAAATGAATGATCAGTTTGGAGGGCACTGCTCATGGGGTGGAATGTAATTTTTGTTCAGCTATGGGTAGAACATAATCTACAGATATATCTTGCTTCAGAGGATGTATTTAGTAGTTTAATGATGAATAGGGTACAGAAGATTCTCTCTTCTTTATTTTGCAGAACAGGATTCAATGTGTTCCACTTTAAATTGCTTTTTTATTAGGGTTATTATTGCATAATAGAGATTGCATAATAGAGCCTAAAACAAGCATGCATTCATAGACATCCATCAAGTCTTGTTTGAAATTTCTGAAATTTTAACTGAAATTATATCTTTCCCTGTGTGTCCATGTAATGCATTTTTCTCTACCAATGGCACATTTCTAAAAGCCAATTAAAAACGAGCCATCTACTGAGCACATTGGTTATATAAACATCTAGGGCTTAACTGGCACAGACTGAAAAATAAAATATTCCTTAGTCTCAGCAGCATCATCATTAACATTCAAACTGTCAGTAGATACTGTCCTGAGTAATTGCAGTGTAGTTACAGCATTTCGGCCTTGCGCAGAAGAGTTCAGATGCTGCAGATACTTCAAGTGGTGGTGAAAGCTGTGAAAGGTGATGAGTGTGTCAGAGCCTGGATAGGAAGAGTTTTCCTCTCTATTTCTGTACATGGATGCACCTCATTTCAGTGCTGCAATCTGTTCTTTCAGATCCAACTTCAAGCTCCTGGCTGTCAGTGGAAAGCTCTATGCCATCGGTGGTCAATCCCTTTCCAATGTGGAGTGCTACAACCCGGAGAATGACTGGTGGAATTTTGTGGCATCCATGCCAAACCCTCTTGCAGAATTCTCAGCTTGTGAATGCAAGGGCAAGATCTATGTTATTGGAGGATACACTGCACGAGGTAACAAGTTTGCTGTTCCTTCTTGTTGGCTTCCTGATCATTTCCAAGGCCCAGATCATTTTCTCCTGTTTTTCAGGAAAGCTTTTGAACTCGTGCAGAAGGCTGCATAATGCTCATTAGAACACATAGAAATTAATTGCTGGTAGAAAATAATTAACAAAACAAAACAATATCTCTGTCAGGGAAGAATCAGGTATTTATATTTTTTCAGAGGCTGTGTGGACCTGGGGCTCTGTTACTTGCAGAGAGCAAACTGATTGGTATTTCAGCACCCAGCTTAGCCACTACCCCTTTTCTTAGATTTTGATCACACAGTATGGGAATACTTTGTTTACTTTTTAAATCCCTGTTTTAGACTGTCAGAAGGAAAAATTAATAGAAAAGATCTTCCTGCCTTAGTATTTCTCATGTATTAATAGATGTCATGGTCTTTTCACTATAAAGTTTCACAGGAAAATTCAAGCTATACCTTAATAGAACAATCAAAAACTGAAGCAAGAACCAACACTTTTAGCTTATTTAATTTCTCTACTAAATTTTCTGAGAACACTGTACAGAGGTAAGAATTTGGAGTTTCATTCTCTTCTGACAATTGCTTTTCTTTATCCAGTGGGCAAACAAGTTCAGGTAAAAAGACATCCTAATTGTTCATTCCTTATGTACATTAGTGCCATTTTTTGAGAGGAAGGCATTTTCTCAGAGCTTTAGAAGTCAATTTTTTAATCTTCTGAAATGTTCAGTATTTACCAGGATTTTGTAAGTTGGAATTTGGCCTTTGCCCACTTCAGTTGACCACAGCAGTTTTAAGGGCTTTCTTTCCAAACAGAGAATGAAATTAGAAGACAGATTAGCTTTTGCAGACAGTACTGCAAGCAGAGCTAAACTGATGTTAGAACAAGCTTCTAGTGTGTGAGCAGATTTGAGCTCTGAATCGTTTTAAAGTTTATAAAAGACATACTGCCACCCCTTAAAGTCCTTCTGGTGATGAAATACATTTTTCCAGACCATTCTGACCAAGAGTCTGGTGGCTTCTGTGAGGAAAATGCATCTGTATGGAGAGCTGTGCTATGCTGTGTGTGCTGCAGTACCAGTCTTCTGGTCACCCTCACTGCAGGATCTCCTGGGGCCATTGTGCTCCATCCTGTCCAGCACTGGGACTCTGAGATGTCTGGCATGAAACTCTTATTGTGTTAGGAAGTGAGATCCAAAGGGAAACATCCTGTGAGACAAGATAATGAAGAGAAGGGGCTGAAACAGATTGATGGGAAATCTTGTCTCTAGAGACCAGGGTTAGGGGTTTGGCATTTTTATCTAGAGAGAGGGAGAAAGAAGGGTGAAAAGAAGGTGAAAAACCTCTGATTTGGTTAAGGGTGCTACACAATTACAGGAAAAACAACTTTTCTCCTACACCATCTGGACTCTGCAAGTTCCTTTTCTGATGCTTGTGCTGTGCTTTCATTAGGATGCCTGCTCCTGGTGTCATGTAGAGGAAGATCAGCACATTGCTGATTCAGATCGCACTCCTTTAAAACTCCTCATCCAGGCATGTGCAGTCAAGATTGCTGCCCTCTGTCAGGCTCCTGACTCGGTACTTGCTGCCTGTGGGTTCAGCTGAAGGAGAGTTTTGCATTACCTCTTGCTTCCTCCACACTCTAGGGGTTTGCTGCTGCCCTCCAAACCTCTGTCATTTCCCAGGTCTTTTCCTAAATGCCTTTTTCAATGGAAATAGGACAGTAAAAAAACAGGAAGTGTTGAGCAGGATAACTAGCACATTTAGGCTTCTGTTTCTTCTGCTTGTTATAAATAATTTCCTGAAGAAGGGTCAGAATCAGTTTTTCTGTGACATCTTGACTTAGGACAATTAGCAGACTTAGAACCAGAATTGCCACAATTACACTGGTGGTTTTCCTTCTGAATTATGCCATTGTCAGAAAGTATTAAGACGTAAGGATCTGAGAAATACTAAGGTTTATTTGCTGGTTTCCTACATTTACTACATAAAACACATACAGTAATTAATGTTTTTTGTGTTATGTTATTTTTAGTAATTTTTGGTATTTTTGTGTATATACCTCAGTTTTGGTAGATTTTGTGGGCTACTTTTTAAAATTTGTGTAGACTTTCTCCTGAGACTGCACTTTGCAAAAGATAGTAGGATCTGGAATTTCCCACTGTAAGTTTTAATGACACTTCTTGAATAAAGTCCTTCTCTTGAGTTTGCAACTCTCACTTGTGAATCTAGATCCTAATAGAAATTCCATGTCAGGCACTGTCGTGTTCATATTTTGTATTGTGAGTTTTGTTTTGGGATTTTTTGTTGTTGTTTCAGTGAATATAAAAGACCCAGGCTGTGGACCAAGCATGTGAGGTCCATGTTGCAATGGGCTTCTATTTCATACACCTACTCTCAAATAGCACATTTTCCAGGGGAAGTTTACTGCTATAGATAGTCATAGAAACTTAATTGGGACTTCTCCTCCCCTTAATGAGTTGGAAAATGGTGGGTTGTTTGTAGACAAAGGTCATCTATATGTAGAGCTGTAGTTTCACAGAGCACTGCCATGAGAATAATCAGAGTGCAAATGCTGGATGGAGCAGCACCTCCCTGATCATGCCACTGATGATGCACTTCATTCACAACAATCCAGTTATATTTCTGACTATTTATACACGTGCCCTTACAGAATTTGTCAGTATGTCCCCGTCTGCTCTTTCCCCTGGGAGCTCATCTGGAAGTCATGCAGGACAGATGTGTAACATGGAGCAGATTTAATAAAAGACCTGTCTGGAGTCTGCAAACCTGTTCCTGCTTGTCATTTGAGGTTGGATTTGAGCTCTGGTCTCCCGAGACTGGACTGAATTTACTGAGTCATGTGCATTCTGTGATAATTCAGTGAAGACTTGGGCACAGTCAGGGTCTTCAGCCAGGGCTTCAGGGTGGCATTGTAACAATTTTGTGGAATAACACTGTTGCACAGAAATGTGCCCACTCAGTTGTGAATAATGGAGATGATTTCAGCTTCTTTCTGATGGCAGAGCACAGAGTTCCTCGTTCTTAGATGATTTTGACAATGTGGATTTCTCTCTTTATAAGGTGCCCTTAAGTCATCCAGGCCACTTGTTAAAACGTAACCAGCTTTACAAATTTTATTCCATAAAACTTTGACATACGGAATGAAAAGCAAAGTATCAAAGTTAAGCTTGGATGATAAATCATCACTCGACCGCCATTAATGAAGTGTACTGTCTTCAGGATAGTGTGATTTATCTGTGACCACTTCTGGAGAGGGGACTATTGCTCCATTTCCCTCTTTGTAAAAAAATTCTTTTGTATCAATCAGAGACAAAATTAAAAGCATAAGCCAAAAAGTAGGGATAAAATCTGCTGGCCTAGACAATTTACATCATGTAATGTGCCAGAAGTATCATATTTTTTTTCCCTTGTGCCAAGGAACAGAACAAAGTTTCTTGTCAATGGCAAAGAGCTGCAGCTGTCAGTGATCACCATTTCTCCCCTGGTTTACCCTGCAAGTGTGTGAGCAATCTGCAGTAAAGGCTGGGATGCTTTGTAGGAAAGAAAAATGCTCCCCCATGAGTGCCTTCTGACAGAATTATTTATTTGTGAATGTCTCCTCTCTGTTTCAGGCAGGAATATGAGCATCCTGCAGTATTGTCCCAGTTCTGATTCCTGGACCAACTTGGAGCTGTGCGACATGCACATCCGCAAGCAGCAGATGCTGTCTGTGGAGGAGACCATCTACCTGGTGGGAGGCTGCATCCTCGACCTTGGACCAAACCAGAGATCCAGCCCCAGCGAGGACCTGCTAACAGTGCAGTCCTATAACACTACCACCAAAGAGTGGCTCTACCTCAATGAGAACTCATCCAAATCTGGCCTTAACTTGACTTGCACTCTCCACAATGATGGAGTCTATATCTTGAGTAGGAATATTACTCTGTCTTCCAGCTTGGAGCAGCGTCTCTTCCTGAAGTATAACATCTTCACAGACAGTTGGGAGTCACTGGGGCGTTTCCCAGCCTTTGGACAAAACATTCTGATCTGTTCTATGTATTTGCCTGATGGACGAGAAGTGTAACAGCATGAGGATTTCATTAATCGTTCTTTGATGAGATATTTCTCCCTCTGAATAATTCCATTTTCAGAATGTAATGTGGTTGCATAATGTAGGCATAAAATACTGATTCTGTTCTCTAAAAAGGTTTCAGAATCCAATATGAAGAGAAATGCTTCCAGAAACAGTTTTAAGATGTCAATTTAAACATTTTACTGGTTTGGATTAAAATTTCACCAGGTATTGTTTGCAATTTAAACATAAAATAATTGTGTTGGCAACTGATACAGAAGTTCCAAAAGCAAAACTGATCAGTCTGGTTTTATTTTTCCTCTTAATAGACAGTGTAGAACAAAACATACATTTTTAAAGTGGAAACAATTCAATAAAGTAAAAAATTAGTATAATCAAAATCATAACAGGATTTATTTATTTTAAAATACAGGCAAGCAATGTTCTGTCAAATGCACAGTTTCAAATTGCTTATGCTGTCCCATTTTTATCTCTTCCATGGCAGCAAGTGAGATTCTCAAAGGTGCCAGCAATTGGGGTCCCATCAAGAAGAACTTCCTCTGGATTATTTATAGTGCAATGCTTTGCCAGGGACTGGTAGGAATTGCCTACAGTTGTTAATTGGAAAGTAGATGCTCCTTTAATTGAAGTTGGCAGCATTTCAAGCTACTATTAAGATAGAGGTAAAAAGGCTCTTTATTCAAAGGGTGGAGTTTCCTAATTGTCATAAAGGTTTAAGTTTTAGTTACCTTGTTGTGTTCTGTAGTACCTAGAACTGAGTTTTAAAGATCAAATTGTAGTTTCGAGCAGCCTGTTGTGAAAATGTCCTTGAGCATGAGCAGACATGATCCTGCTCCAGGCGCATCCTGATTAGTAACACTCCTGTGGGACACACCTGGAAGGCTTGGTTTTTGTAGATGACTCCCTGAACACCTTCCCCAGAGCAGGGACATGTGAGTGTTGGCTCTTGCTTGTATCATCAGGAGAGGTTGCCTCAGGTTTGCCAGCCACTGTTGTTCGTCTCTGTGACGGGCACTGTAAGGTGCTCACTGTGAACTTTCCTTTGTGGAGATTCTAGATATCATTGTGGGGATACTGCGGGCGCTCCTTCCCATTCCTGCCTCTTGCCAGAGAGAACTGTGGCCATGATTGGCCCCTTTTCTCCTTGTAGCTGACAAATGCAAAAGCATCTTGAGGTGCCTGCCCAGGTCTGGAATGTGTGTCCTCACAACACAAGAGAGGAAAAGCTCTGGGTTACCATGAGAAGAGCCAGGTTAGACACATTGTAACACATTGTAGGTATGCTGGTTCTGCTCCAGCTGCTCATCTACATGATGAGATTTAAAGCACCTGAACACATTACTAATGTGTGGAGATACCTTTTTTATTTCTTCATCAGAATTCAGGAATCTGAATCTTTTGAAAACAGGGGCCTGTTGTACAGAGGAGGAGGCAGCAGTGGTTCCCTCAAGGTCCTTGTAACTCCTTGCTTTTCCACAGTTTTGAATAAAACCAGTTCTTACTAAAGGGTTACCAGTCTTAAAGTGCCTTGCCAGTCACTGCTCACACATTAATCTTGGTGCTTCCAATCATCTGTCATAACGCAAACAGAAAATCCCAGAAAACTTCTCCAGAATGAGGACATTTGTATTTGAACATTTTTAGGATTAAAGAAACCACAACACAAGGTATTTTGGATGTCTAAAATTTACCTTTTTGGGTGGAACTTTTGCAGCCTGGTGGAGAATGTCATGCGTCAGCCCAAAGTGGTGCCTGCCACTCAGCTATGTTTGACTTCAATTAGCTAAGTCCATGTTGATGTGTTTTTATTTCCTTTGAAGACATTGTACAGCTGCTGTGTTTTGACAGCAGTATCAGACCACACAATTGCTCTTCTGCAATGGAGCAAGAAGGTGACTTGCATAAGATGCTTCCTTCAGAAGTGTTTCAGAATAAATATAAGCAGGGTGCCATTGTCTGGTGATAAATTATCTTAGTCACATTATGCTACTTGCTTTCCTAAATTTATTTTCAGTTCCAGATTCAGTACCCTACAGTCAACTGTGACCAGTACTGGTGGAGGGAATCACATCCAAGTTGCACCATTCTCTTTCCTAGCAAACTGACCAAGAAACTGCTGGGTTTGCAGTGGGGTGTATCAAATCATGTCCTTTCAAGCCCATTCATTTCTTAGTGCAGTCATAATTCCAAAAACTGTGACATCATCTTCTTAGTGTGATTACTCTTTTTCAGAAGAGGCCTTTCCACACTGGGTTTATCTTGGTTTCAACTTCCAGCAATCAAGTGACCACCTTGAACACCTGCTCAAAAGCAGAAGACAAAGATGTGTCTGACTGTAAATACTGTCAGACCCTCTCGTCAGTCCATGGTGCAAATGCCTCCTACACTGACATTTAACAGTACCGCAGTCACAAATCAAAACTGGTGTTTAATTTAGTGGTAGCATTAATTAGTATACATTACTACAGGCTGAAATAAAAATAAATGGGGATTTTTAAACAAAATCATTTACAGAAAAGTATGCAGTGTGTGTGACCCAGTACCTCAAGAAAGAAACCAAACACTGTAATGACTGTCATTTTCTTTTTATCAGTTTTATATTTCATATTCATTTTTTATATTTTGTGGCAAGGAGAAGTGTCTGAGAGCCACTAACAGAATAATTAAAACACTTTTTAGCCAATGGAAATGTTCAGTGATCCAGCGTGCTCTTCTTTCTCTGGTGGTGGGAGGAAAAAGCCCTTCATTTTAGAAGTAGCCAGAGAGTCCTTTGTCTTGGTTCTAGAAGACAGGTGTCTGCTAGGGAGAGCAGGAGCTTCCCTTGGGATGAAAGAATGTAGACCCCCCTCCCTCCGAATTATTATAATTTTGAAATCAAGGGGCCTTTAGGCAGAGATCTGGAGATAGGAATAACAGTTCTTTACTAGTATAACCAGGCAAACAAACAACAATAACTACAGCATTAATAAGAAAACAGAACCAGGGGCCCCGTGACAGCTTTCTCGGCTGAGATGTGTTATAAATGCAAAGGCAGATTTGGGTTAAATAAAAACAATTTATTATAAAACAATTTCTATAAAAAATAAACAATGAGGAAAAACCACAATAAAACAAACAGCGCAGCGCTGGGTGGACAGGGGTCTATACCCAAAGGTATAGGTGTTCCCAAATCCACGAAGGAGGGTAGACTGTCCGGGGT